ATAAATAAAAATAGAATAAAAAAATATGGTATTAGAAAGAAGACAAAGTATATATATACTTCAAGCTTTTCTGTGATTATGAACGTTTCGAGAAATCGATGGAATGCTTCTTCTGCAAGAACGAGAAAAATAGAATGACATTGAAAAACGATGTTTACGACATATATATCTCGATTTCTTTAGATCGCTAGATGCTTTCGATAAAATAATTAAATCTTCAGAATTTAATGCAATTAAAAATGGATAAATAAAAATAGATAAAAAAATATGGTATTAGAAAGAAGACAAAGTATATATATACTTCAAGCTTTTCTGTGATTATGAACGTTTCGAGAAATCGATGGAATGCTTCTTCTGCAAGAACGAGAAAAATAGAATGACATTGAAAAACGATGTTTACGACATATATATCTCGATTTCTTTAGATCGCTAGATGCTTTCGATAAAATAATTAAATCTTCAGAATTTAATGCAGTTAAATAAAAATAAAAATAAATGGTATTAGAAAAAAGACGAAGTATATACTTTGAGCTTTTCTGTGATTATGAGCGTCAATTTATTACCGAAATTTATATCCCCGTTTCTCTATTTTAAGTACGATACTCGTCGTTCTACTTTCATAGCGAGTCGGAGAAATTGATTTACATGGTTCTTTATTTTTTTCTTCGGAATACATTCCACGCGAACTCTTTTTCCTTTGATAATCTCGCGCGTTGAGAGGTATACGTGTGTAAATATCGCGTGGATGTTTTAAGGAGATGATGAAGAGGACCGGGGATTAAGGGAGGATTTGCGTGCTAGTAAGAGCGCCGCGGTTTTGTCGATCGACTTGCGATATCGCGCGTGAAAGAAGACGGGAAAAAATAGATACTCTCGTTATCGAAGTCGCGTGTACCCGCAATTAAAGATGTCTCGAGCGGCGGAGATAGAGAGGCAGGATGTTCCTTCGAACTTCTCTAATCCCTCGTCTCTCACCTCGTCCTCCTACGATCGGCAGATCGCATCGCGAGATAACTGTCGAGGTGGGGACGGGTTTCCAGTACACACGAGGATTCGTTCGATCCGCGGGCACCGGATGTGGGATATGCAGGCGACGAGACGCGTGGGATTCCTCTCCGGTACATACATACATACATATATATATATATATATATATATATATATATATATATACATAGCACGCGAATAACGCCATGGTAGACCGAACTCGAGGGAACTTTCCCACTATGAGTGAAGAACGAAGTTTTCGAAAAGATTATTGTATTCGGGAAAATTGCAGCTTAATAAACGCAGGGTCTCTAGCGGTCAGGGAAATCGGGAAACCGGGCATTGTCAGGGAATTTTATAAATCTGGACATGTCAGGAAAGAGTCAGAAAATTTTACTATTTATCTGGATTTTTTCACATTATTTTACATTTGTCTCAATAATTTCGAATTTTTTATTGAATAAATATAAACTTTTCCTTGACTCTCAGCATGCTAATTTTCTGTGTTGTTAAAAATCGATTCGTTAATTTATATTTTCATCGTCGTGTTATTTTATTTCAATGTGTTGATAGAGACAAAACTAAAAAATTTGATATAATATAAATAAAAAAGTAATTATTTAAATAGTTTATAGTGGCATGTTTGTTTCGATTATCGTACATAATGGAGAATGTATAATTGATTTAAATTTTTGTTTTAACTTCCGAACTTTTTCATTGTTGACAAAAATATCTCAAGGATTTCATGATTTAATATTTAATTGATTTATCATATAGATATATGCAAATTATATATTTGGAAAAATAATACTAAAAAGTCAGGGAATTTTTTTGATTGAGTCTGTTGGACACTGATGATAAGAGGACAGAGAGTTCTCCCCCTTTTTTAGGTCTCAGATTATTTAATAATATAATTGAAAAAATAAAAAATCACTTTCCTTATTTTAGAATCGATAAAATCAAAATTGAGAACATGAAACTTTGTAACATTCATATACTTGATATTCTTATCTTACTATTTAGAGAAAACTCGTTTTTACGCTGCATGAATATCAATTTAATTTCTATTTTCGAATTTACCTAGTCTTCGTTTACGTTTTGTATGTAGAACGTTGTAATTACAGTTGTGGAAAACCATCTTAGTTTCTAATTAGTGCAGATCAGGCATAAGCAGAAGTTTATTACTTTCTAGTTATTATCACTTTGCAATTCGTTAAAGTCTGGAAAGAGCTCATCTCGGAGGATTTTTCATTCCATTTCCTCGGCGACTTTATATAATATTTCCGGGAGGGAACAAAGTTCTCCAGGATTATATTCAAGAGGAAAACATACGTTTCACTAAACGTACGTTTCCGGTAAAAAAATCCCATATGACTACTGGGTCTAGGATGCTTTCCGCATTTCAAGTCGGCATAGGGGAATGAGAAATGCCGCGCACGAAGGCGCTCAACGGGATCTTCTTATTGGGCAGGCATCGCTCGCGACACGCTCTGTTTGGCTAACGAGGCGGCGGACGTGGACCTTTAATTGCTTGAATAAAGTGTAGAGCCGCGCCGCTTCTCGCCTTCGCGAGAGGCCGAAGAAACCTACGCGGGTGCACGTTTACGTCGACCTTATTAGATATTAGAGGCGTAGCGGGTCGATCTAGGTCGCGTCGTTCAGCCGAGCTTAAGGACCGGCAAGAACTCCGGTGCGCGAAGCGTGTCAAGGACGACCAGAAGAAAGAGGAGACATCTCCGAAGAGCGAGGGACTTGCTGTCCAATTATTGTCAATTGTGAGACAAGTGTCTCTCCGATTGCGTAACGTTGCAGTAGGCGCGTTAAAAATGGAGTAAGAGAGAGAGAGAAAGGACTCATGAATTATCCTTAATGAACCATTCGCTGAGGTACGATATCACTAGGCGTGAAAAAAATCGAGAACCGTGACAGAGCCGAGTTATTGAGAATGTTTCTTTAACGTTTGCGATAAATTGTAATGCGAATTTTTAAAATTAATATTACAAGCTATGTTCTCCCTTTTAACTACAAATTTATCTGTCTGCTTAGATTGAACGAGTGATTTGAATCGAATTTTATATAAAGATGCCTTCACTTTAATCTATTATTATTATATTGAAAAAATATGTTTTACAAATGCTACTTATTCGCACTTTGAAAATTTAAATTCGCGAAAAAATTATACAGTGAAATATTATGCTAGCTTATTTGTATTAAATGTTCTTAAAACGTAGAAATATGATTTTATGATACTCGGCGATATGCGTTTTAGCGAGTGGCCACTCCACCATAACGGGATGGTTTATGGTTCGTTACGTTCGTGCTGTCGCTACGTGACAATCAATACGCCGGAAGTTAATTGTGAACGTGCGACGACCGACAGGAAATCGTGCAAACCGGACGGAAAGCGGTTAAACAGAGCGTAGGCATATTCCGGGTACGTCGAGATCGATTCAGTCGACGAGAAGACGGAATTTTATCGATGATAAAAGCAAATTATCTCGAGCGCGATTTTATCGATCTATGTATCGATTATTAGGCGACTTTCGATTGGCCTTGCGCTTTTCAACAAGTGTGTTTTCTCAATAAGCAGCAGTTAATCACGGTCGACGAGCTAACTGGACCGTGAATCCGGTGTTTGACATTCTTATATGCATGAAATAGCGTGGAAAGTCATCCGCCTTTTTATTTATTCGCGAATTGAGAAGATCCGCTTTTCAAATATCGCTCAGTTCGATTTAAAAATGAAAGATATATCTCGGTGCATATTTCTATCTATATTTTTTAATTTTCAAACCACGCCCTTCGCATATAAGATGAATGTAAAATACGCTCGGGCACGTGAAGTTTAATTTTACGACGCGGAATTGCTAGAGCTATTTATTTCACTCCAATAAGGAAATCACATCCTTGGATATTAATTTCGCGTATATCGAAAACTATGTTACGACTTTAACGAATTTCGCGCACCGCATACATTTTCTCTCCTCCATGGCACCGCGTTTGTTTATCTCGCGAACGACGATCCCCTCGTTCGTTGACTCGGGCATGTGTTTGCTGTTTAGAAGATATCGAGCGTTTTTGTCGCGGATGCCCGACGTTCTTTCGCTTAATCCTTACAAGGAAGCGCCATAATTCTCCCGAAGGAGAGTGGCGCGGAACGTCTCTCTCGTAGCCAAGCTCTGCCTTTATTTCTCCATAAAGCCGAGCAAATTCTCGTTCTTGCAGCGATCCTTTCGCGAGAGATGATCGCTTCGTTTCGAGATTGCCGCGCAATGGGAAACGACGTATTACTTCTTCGCGCGAGCAAGAGAGAGCTTTTTGCCAGCTTGGCCACGCTAGGGCCGGCTTCAACGTGTAACCGCGATGCGGCTATTATCTACGCGGTATTATCTAGTACGAGGTTGTAACGAGTGTCAAATTATTGCGCACTGATTGCCGCGATATGAGCGAGCCTCGGAAAGATTTATTTAAGTTGATGTCGTGCTCGTTACACTCCAGTTGTAACTCGATGCAATTATACGGCGATGGGATTTTATTGGATTAAACGCGATCAAATGTGAATTTGATTGCCTCCGTGCGCTATATACCTAAGCGAGCGAGCGCTCATTTTTCGAGAGTAGAAGCTCAGATTTTTTACCCAACGCGAACGTTATTAAAGTGTGAAGTTTTACATTTTTGTTTTATTAATCATTCTTAATGAAATCGGCTACGAGGCGAAAGCCTCGTATGAATTAGAACGAAAACTCGAGAAATTTTCGGGAGAGTTTGTGATTTTTGATGGTTGATGATTAATAAGAATGCTTTCACACTTGATAAATGTCTGATGCTTTATGATTCTTTAGAAATAATTTCCATATTTTTTTCAGATATATCATACTTTTCTCTTATTTTATAATTATATACATTATTTTTTTTTTTTTATCAAATTCGCTTAAAGATTAATTTCCAACAATCTCATGAAACAATAGAACACGAGCAAGTATATCTATAAAATGAATTATTTTCTGTTTCAGGCTACGAGGAAGATTTCCAAATGCGGATACCTGTTCGTCGCGCCTGGATGGGACTTTTCAAACCCCCTGAACCGGACAAAGGTGAGTTTTTCTTTATCATTTGATTAAGAAAGACCGATATCTTTTTCGATTGGCTCGCAAGTAGGTTTATATTGAATTACACCACAAGAGTGGTGGAAAAGAATTTTCGACCGCTGAACCGCGATCGATTTCATCGATCACTTCTGTTGCATTATCAGTCGATCGTGGGAGATCACGTGGCGAGATGTAGATCGAGCCCCTGCGTAATTTGCTCATTATCGAGAAAGTAAGGATATATAAGCGGGAGGGCGCCGATACGTTTTTTCTTCGTTCCACGATCTCGCGATGCGATTCGCTCCGCGAAAAACGTGACTTCGAGAAACACGTATTTAAACGGAGTCGTTCCGGCTTTATTTTACATTTATGGCGGCGCGTGCGCGCGCGCGAATGTTGTTCCTTTCTAAACTTTCTCCGACGTGAAACGGTCGTTAACACTTCGTATATGAATATGCTTTTTTTCCATTTTGACGTATCGGTCGCGCGGTTGGAGAATCGCAATTTTTCCAAAACAGTGAGAATTTTCCAATGTTTGCCGCGAGAGAGATCCCGAGAGACGCAGAAACGAGCCGGGATCCGGTTGAATCGGTTTCGCAGAAGGTGTCGGTCGTATGATTTATGCTCGTTTAATGGGAACGCCGGTATAAACAGTTTCCTTCGGCTGTTGCAATTTTCTCTGTCAAAGACCGCCGCGACATGTGCGATTTGATTGACGCGTCGGGAATCCGGGGGACAGTACCGTTAATTGAAAACGTGATGATGTCGAGAAGGAAGAGTGACAATTCGCTAAAAATTGTAATAATTCATAGACTCGCTAACTTGTTGCATGTATATCACGGCAACCTTTAAGAACCGCGAGGTTCTTGTTATAATATATACGTAATATAAGAAGGTATATATTGCTGATTAATTAAGAAAAAGCGCCGCGATATTCTTGAATTATAAAGGAAATGTCAAGCGAGAGTTATAGTTACTATCGTTACTATCCAAGATCGACAATAACCTTTAGCTGTTGCGAGGCTACGTTTGTCCATCACCGGAGTTTCGTGTAATTTTTGCGAAAAAAACCTCCCATGTAATTGTCTACTAATAGTATATATTTATTACGAATTAAATTGTTCGCGGGAAAATGCCAGGGGAACGCGCAATTTCCGAGTTTGACGTTTACATCTTTGACGAGTAAGGTATTATATTCGCTCGATTATAGTCGAGATTTTTACAGGATCGATAATTATCGACGTGTATCGAGCGTGTTATCCTCTTCTTCCAGACGCGCGAGTAGAAAGCGGTCTTCTGGTGACCGTCTCTGGCCTCGATCTTACGTTAGTTAGTCTCCCGCTCGTGATAATCTCTCGTATGTGATGTTCCATGACAGGCCGGCCGCTCCGATTTTTGCTACCATTTTTTTCCATTTATCCCTAATCAAGAGCACTTTCACGGAATATTGCCGCGCGCGAGATTTCGATTAGCGATTCTCTCCCCGATGAAAGCACAGCTCCGTTCATGCGTGGATATTTTTCTTAATTCATCTATAATTCAGGTTTTTTTATTTCATGTCTTTTATGTAATGTTTTTTAAATAATATTTTTCTTTGCGTACACTGTTAATTATTCGTGTAATCGACATTTGGTTTCTTACGCTGCGAGCCTAGTGACTTTGAAACTTTTCTTAATTCATCTATTAATTTAATGTCACTAATATTATGTAAGGTTTTTACACTTTTTATTAATGTTTTTTTATTTAATGTTTTTTATTAATGTTTAATGTTTTTTTTAAACATTTTTCTCTTTGCGTACACTGTTAATTATTCGTGTAATCGACATTTGGTTTCTTATGCTGCGAGCCTAGTGACTTTGAAACGTAGTATTTGTACATTCTCAGTTCTTCAAAGATCCTCGAGGGCAGCGATAAATGTTTGTTCTATTATTTACTGCTACTTCAAGCCTCTTCATAAACCGCGCTTGTCATAAAAAGAGGAAGCTATTCGGTGAATGACTTCTCGGAGACTGTCTCGATTACCTGCGACTATATCTCGGTTAACTATCGTCTTCGCGGTATCCAAAGTGTCATCGGGAGATTACGTGGACCGCGACGCGAATCCGTAAATCTCGGCCGTTGAGCTTGCGGAGAAAGTGAATAATTAGAAGCAGCTCGAAGAATGTCTTAAAGATCTTTGGAACCCGTGCAACGAAGCGGCGCGTAACAGTCATTAATGCGTCGTTACCAACTCCTTAATTAAGTGGACCTTGCTAATTCGACCCGTAGGCGACTCGTCGTCGGAATTTTTTTCCCTTTTCGTTCCCTTGGAACGACATATCTCATCATTATATGTTTGATAATTTAACCAACAATTTTAATATAACGATATCGTATCATAACGATTGACGCTATTTTATCGTCCGACACTCCGGTACTTAAAGAACTCGGATTCTTCAGAGAGATTATTACTTAATATTTTATGGCATTCCTATCCGATTTTTTCTCATCGATGCATAAACATTCGCGCCGAATGGCAAATGTGCATATATTCGAGAATTTTTTGCATCTCAATGATTTAGATCCGTCATTACTTTTATGTCAAAGAGTTATAATTAAAGTCTCGGTTTACGACTTTAATATATAAATCTGAATTTTTCTGAAAACATTAATTTAATTTACTATAGTATTTTTTAAATTGATGAGTAAATATAAAATAGTGAAAACAATATATTATGTGTATACACATTTATCGATAAAAATTACTTATGAATTGTTAACTACATCTTATTTATTCATTTATATTTAATTGAATATTTAATGAATTTTTTCGACATTTGATACAAGCATTCGCAATTTATATATTTTATACGACCACCTAGATAAGTCTACTTATATCTATTATTCGTTATCAGATCGAGAGCGATACATATCTCGTTCTTATCGAACCCATCGTGATCGATAGGAGAATTCCTAGATTTTGTTCGCGACTGGGAACTATTGTGCAGATTAGTCACAAGGTGTCTAGCCGTTCTTAAAATCCTTGAAGCACTTGAAATGTTCTGGAATTTTGTTTGTTCTTTAAAAATCCTGGAAATATCCTTAAATTTTTCGTAGATCCTTGATTTTTTTCGTTGCTTCTAATCATTTAACTAAAAGTTGAGACTATTCGAGTTAAAAAAATATTTATCCCACTTTTTTTGTAAATAATACAATAATATTTTTTATTTGGGAGTCCAAAAATATATCATTTTAATGTATATATTAATTTTCATTAATATGCAATTATATGGACTTGATTAAAGAAAACAAAGTTTTCAGTTTCTTGTATATTTTTATTATATTATATATTATTGAAAAATCGTGCAAATTTCCTTGAAATGTCCTGAAAATGTCCTTAAATTTTATTTTCAAATTTGACTAGACACCCTGAGTCGGTTTGCTTGATATTTTGCAAGTTTCAAATTTCACGACGACCGATGGAGTCGTAGTACAACTCATCGCGATATAATAAAGCGACGCCTCTATTTTCACCCCGGTAGTACCTCGAGGCACATCGAGAGAAGTCGAATGGTAGGAATCTCTCACGGGTCGTGAGATCGAAGAGGATCGATGGATCCCCAACTGCAATATTGCGGTTAGAGAAATACTCTCGCGAGCATGCGTAACTATTTGTGCGGCTGGAAAATTACATCTGCTCCATTCTCCTCTCGATTTCCCTTCGAAGTTGAAAGTCTTTCCTTGGTTAGAAGAAAAAGGGGAAAGAGGTATTTAATTTTTATCACGACGGCCTCTTCAAATATATATACAATATATACAGTCGCGAGACATGTATATGATAATACAATGAGATATTTTATAGATCTGTTAAATAAGATTTAGCATCTGACTCTCTTAACCGTTACCTGTTAACCTGTTATCCAACCGAACGAGAGAGCTCAATTTGCAGCACAATATTAATCCTCGACAGACGTCATAAATTCTGTTAAGCTCTTGATGCCACATACAGTTTATGTAATCTCGTTTAAAACGTGTTACACGTGAAAATTCAAAAGGATTTACAAGAAAATAATTTTAATCAATCTTATTGACTGAATCTGCATTTTTAAACATTTTTTATTTCGTGACGTTTAAAGAATTCCGCCGAGAGTTGACGTATATAGTCGATATCGGGATTGTGATAAACCGATGACATATTACGTTAAGGCAAGGCGTGCACGTGGTAAAAACGTATAGAGGAAATGGAAAACAATGAAAATCGTTGGAAAACTCGGTAAAGCAAACTCGGCGTTGCAACATATGACGTATTTGCGCGCGACAGTAAAACGCTCCGTTATACATTCACGATGTGTTTGCGCCGCGTTTTAACGACACCGTAAAACGATAAGGTGCAACAACTCTGGTCATAACGCGCGGCCAGTTCTTTTTATTGCGCAATAGTATTCGGACGAAAATAAACAACCTCCGTATTACTTATAAAAAAAAAAAAATGAATTCTATCAGTCAAACCGTGGTAGCGAGAAGGTTGCGCAATTAATGCAACTTTGTTGCAAAATAATTAATGTAAATACGCGGCGACACGTATAATGTCGTGTTACTGAAAATGTGCACGGATTAATTTCAGCAATAAAACGCGCCAAGAACACGCGCCGATTGATAACGCGGGCTTCGTATCAGTAATCGGAAACGAGAGCGAGATAACGGATTGGTAGCGCGACGGCTAATTCGCGAGTTGCTTAATTAATTGAATTTAATTAATTGAATTTTATATTTAATCACTAGAATCGGTCGCGATCATTAATTTTTCTCGTTAGGTGAGAAAGAGAGACGCACTCGCGACCTCGATTAATTTATCGATTCGAATGTTAATCGATTAAGCACCGATAGCTTACGAGGCAGAAACGCTTTAATTGCAATCGCATCCGTTTCTGCACAGTCAGCCGATATCGGTATCGAGTATTTGTGTCGCCGCAGCGTTTTACACGTGTTTCGGTAACTTTGGACGCAAAACATTATTTCGTGCGTTT